CCTCCTGGGAGAATGTGACTCACATACACGGCTGGGAGCCACTCCACCTGGTGGGAGTGGGCCAGGGCTGCTGACCTACCCCGCACTCCAGACAAGTTTCATTGTGAGATGCGCACAGAGGGGGAAGGAGTGGTCAGTGGGTGGTCGTGCAGGGGTTGGGGAGTCTCTGCAGACATTCCCAGGCCAGGCGGGAAGGAGCCACGAGAGAACATTCTGGCTCACCTATCACGTTAGTGAGCCTTCAATGTGTACCGAGGGGCATGGGGACAGGTGGGAGACGGAAGCTGGAAATTAGCACACAGGAGCCCTATGACTCAACGAAGCCAAGCCCTCCCGTGCTGTCCGAGAAAAGGCGTTTTCTTTCCTTAAGGGCATCTGACTCCCCGCACTGCCCCCACGGATGTGATTAAGATCTTGTAAGCTAGCTGGAAGTCGGTTTTCCTGGCTGTATTTTGGCTGAGATAGTAGCTTCTCCCTATCCCCCACCCTCCACTTCCTTTTAAATGTGTTTTTCCTTCCCTTATTGCTTCTCCTTATGGTTTTCTAGCGGAAATTGGAATTTAATGAAGAGAAAAAAATAATTACAGACGAGAACATGCTGAGTGTTCTGAGTTTCTAAAAGGAGATTGTCGGAAAGGAAAGATGTTTAAGTAGCATCTAAGGGGGAGGGAGAGAAGGAGTGAAAGCAAAATTAAAAGCGATATTTCACCACGGGCTGGACGGTCAGGGAGGAGATGGGCAGTAAGAGGAAGCGAAGGGTCCGAGTGAGGGCGTAACCTGCCCTGACCTTGTCTGCCAGAGAGGGGAGGACGGGTGGAAATGCGAGGAGAGAAAGGTCAGGCCTTTCCCATAAACATTCGGGAGGCCTAGGAAGGGATGCATGCTTCGCAAACAAGAAGGACTGATTTAAATTTGACTTTGGCCTTCTGTTGCAGAGATGTCTTCTCAGAGACTCGCCCCTTAGAGCAATGGCCTGGAATTAGGCACTTCCTTGCTCATACTCCTGAATGGTGACTGCAGTAATGGCATGGTGGAACCTTGGACAAGGAGGACACTTTCCTCCACAGCGTGGTGCAGAGGGCCTCCTGGGAAGGCACATGGACATCCTTTAAATTGTCAGCTGAGCCCGAGGCACTGGCAGAGTCCGTGTCCGGTTACACCCCCAAGAGGGCTGGGGGTGTATTCAATTTCTGACTTACCTTTGTCCAGGTGTCAGCAGGGGCCGGTCTAGATATGTAAATCCAGGGATGCTAGGGCCTAGTTAAGAACGCAAATAAGCTCCTTTGACCCTATAAATAAACCTGCTGCGTGGCTTGGAGGCTCGCTGCCTCTCCATCAGAGAGGATGGCGCCCACCTAGTGCCCAGCTGGATGAATCTATTTCTGCCCCCTGTCTCTTTCTTTATTTTCTTAATCCCCAGCTCCTCCACTCAGGAACCTGACTGTTCCCTTTTCCGTGATGGAGATGGACGCGGAAAAGAGAGAAACAGCTCCCCACAGTGTGGCCTCGTGGTGCTTTTTGGTTCACCGTTCCGTGGCAGGCTGTACATGTTCACCTGACTCCAAGGTATATCTAGAGTCCTGATGGTGGAAAGAGATGGTGTTGAAGGTGTGAAACGTATATGTTTGTGAAAAATACAGAGTGCTTCGTCTTCACATTCCACCTAGGGGGCTTGTATGTACGTGTTGAGTGACTTTTATGTACTTGTTGATTTCAAAGAGGAAGAGAGAGGAAGAGAGAGAAATATCAATCGATGTTTGGCTGCCTCCTGCATGCCCCTTCTGGGGGTCGAGCCTGTAACCCTGGGCTCAGTCCATGACCTGGTATCGAACCGTGACTTCCTGGTTCGTAGGTCGATGCTCAGCCGCTGAGCCACATGGGCCAGGCATGAAATGTGTCTTGATGTTGGTGATCAGCCTGTGCCTTTGAGCTGATAGGTAGTCTTGACATTGACATGTTTCCAAATGCTTGCGTGTGGTAGATGTGCAGTCTCGTGTCTTTCACCTCTCGCTGGAGCTTGTATCTGGTATTTGCAGCCCTCTTTGATCACTTACTTTGTTAATTTGTGAAAGTTCTGTATTGGCTGTCCTGTAGACTCATAATGCTGTAGTCAAAGCCAATAATTTGTAGGTGATGGCCAATGGTGAGGCTCCGAGTAAGTGCCAGAGGAAGGAAGACGTTTATCGGTCTTATCACAATATTTTTGTTTTCAAAGTCCCCTTTTCCCCCTCCTGCATTTGTGTGTGTGTGTGTGTGTGTGTGTGTGTGTGTGTGTGTGTGTGTTTGTTTTGAAGACATGAGCCTTTGAAATAACTTTTCCCCAGGAAGTCTCTGTGGTGGCAACTCTCCATGACAACTGTTGAAAACACATGGAGATGTTTTCTAAAAAAGAGAAACAAGCAAAAGGCCCCACAACCCAACAACAATAATAATACAATTACTGGAAGCAAGGGAAGAGACCAGCCAAGGCAATTAAAATGATTCTGAGCAGCAGGCAGTGATGTCTACGTTTGCAGTTCCGGTCACACTAGAAACTGTCATTGTCTTCAGTTCCTTTGATGAAAAGTCTCTGTGGGTCCCTTCTCCCATCTCCAGAAGGAATGTTCTGGAAAAGCAATTTCAGTTTTGCGTTTCCCATGGGGAGGGGGGAGACGGGCCACTTTTCCTTTAGTTGAGCAGCATGCGATTTCGCCATATTCCTTGGACAGCCCGAGCAGATGGCATCACGGTGATAGATGGCTGCATGGCTCTGAGGATGGTTTGAAATCCCGGGGAAATTCTCTGGGAGATGGGGACTGCCACCCCTCAGGGAAGGGGGCATTGGAGACGAATGAGATGTTCAGCACAGTCCATAGACATTGATGCCAGTTGCCCACCCAGAAAGGGCAGGTCAAATGGACATGGACCATCTCCGGATGAGACCAGTGTCTCCTCACGGGGCTGTCTGAGCCCCCCTCCTAAGCCCTGCCTCGGGGAGCGGGTCCCTCCCACGACCAGGTCTTCAGACAGTTGGTGGCCAGCTGCAGTCTCTTTGGGTAGCATTCAGATGAAGTTTCCCCTGCTGCTCTTGCTCCGATGTGAAATTACTGGAGTTATTTCTGATCTGTCACCATGGCCGTGTGGTTTCTTGCTTACTGGCTTGTGGGGCCTCAGGCTGCTAAGACACAGGTAATTTTAGGACCCGGGTCCCGCTCCAGAGACCTGGGTGTCTGAAGGCATCTGTCCCTTTCTCCCTGGACCCTCCGTGGCTGGTCATATCCCTGAGGTCCCCTTTCCAGAGCCTCACACAGCAGACTTCTGAGTACCTCAGATTTCTGGAGAGAGGGCCGCTCATTCTGTGGAATCTTAAAAAAAAAAAAAAAAAAAAAAAATATATATATATATATATATATATATATATATATATATATATACACACACACACACACACACACACACACACACACACACACCCCGTATTTTTCGGACCATAAGACGCACCAGTTTTTAGAGAAGGGAAATGAAGAAAAAAAGATTCTGAAACAAATAGTGTCCTAAAATATTTTATGTGCATTAAAACCCAACATCACAGTCATAAACACATGTAATCAACCCTGTAAAGTAAACAGCAGCATTTAGAACCATTATTAACAAATACAGTCAGCAAAAGACAAAATGTACTGTAAAACACAATAACGAGAGACTTCAGTAATACTAGACGCGGCATTCTTCCGGGCACGGAGTACGGGCCAGCAAGGGGTACAGGCGATGATTACGGTTTGGATTACGCAGTTACCGTGCACCGCACCTGGGCTGACATGGAGATATGGCTGCAGCGAGGGCATGGAGGCTGACTACCATACATGGGAACTCCTCTACCACTCGGGGTTTACAGAGCGGGGCAGACACTCTGGGCACGGAGGAATGGACAGTGGCTGCAGCAAGCACACAGAGCCGGGCACGTAAAAAAACTTTTTTTTTAAAGTATATGTGTAGGCTATATTTGGACCATAAGACGCAGGGACTTTTCCCCCCCACTTCTGGGGGAAAAAAAGTGCGTCTTATGGTCCGAAAAATACGGTGTGTGTGTGTGTGTGTGTGTGTGTGTGTGTGTGTGTGTGTGTGTATATAATTGATTTTTTACAGAGAGGAAGAGGGAGAGAGAGAATTAGAAACATCGATGAGAGAGAATCATCGATCAGCTGCCTCCTGCACACCCCCCACTGGGGATGTGCCCACAACCAAGGTACATGCCCGTGACCGGAATCGAACCTGGGACCCTTCAGTTGCTCTATCCACTGAGCCAAATTGGTTTTGGTGGGCTCAATAGTATTTTAAGCTTTGCTGGTTACCTGGACGATTACTCAACTCTGCCATTAAGACAGGAGAGCTGCTATGAGTAATGCTGGAATGGGCACAGCTATGTTTCAATAAAACTTTATTTGTCAAAAATAGACAGTGGGCCAGATTGCCCCTTGGGCTATAGTTTTCCCATTTCTGGCTTTTCTTCCCCCACACACAAAAGAAAGATAGTGCACTAATTTGTTTCTCAATATCCCAGCTTTGTGAGTATAAAGGCATAATGGTAGCCTCTCTGAGAAGAACAGAACAACCAGGAATGCAGGAAGGGCTAGTGGGTGAGGAGGAGGGCACCCCAAAGGGGAGCTGTGGTTGGGTAAACAGACTTGGAGGGCGGAGAGGGTCTAGAAGCTTCTCAGGGGAAGTGGTACTTGAGATGGATGTTAAGGATGAAGTGGGACTTTCAGGAGGGCAGAGCCAGCAGGGGGTGCAGGAAATCCTAAGGTAGGTGCAGAGGCACTGAGACAGGGCAGAGCTGGGGGGTGTGGGGTGTGTGTGCTTACGTCCATTAGGCCAACTTCGGTGGCAGAGGAGGCTGGACAGTAGGCTGGGGCCGTGCCATGAATGAGCAAAGGGGTGTGGCTCTCTCCTGTGGGTGGGGCCCTGAGGGGTTTTAAGCAGGTGAGAGATGTGACCAGAGCCCGGAGGATGGTGAGAAGGAGGATCGGAGGTGGGTGGGGTTCCTGTGTCCATGCTTGGCCCTGGCCTGAGTGCCCTGGCTGAGTGTGAGCCTCTGCAGGTTTGGTCCGGAGCTTACTCTTTAGCCCCTTTCTCCAAGTTCAGCCGCTTGGCCCGTGTGACCTCGCACGGCCAGCAGGTTCCCGTCCTGCACGGGGGTCAACTCCTCGTCTGGAACAACAGCGCCCCCCCCTCACCCCCCGGCAGAAGCACCCTGTGCTCACGGTCGGTTTTCTGCATCAGCCTCGCCGGCCGTAGTACCCAGTCACTGAATTAAACGCTAATCTCGAGTTACTGGAGGGGTGTTTGGAAGATTTAACACCGACAATCACGGACTGTTCATAAGGAGATTCTCTCTGACGGTGTGGGCGGCCCGGTGCAGTCAGAGGAAAGGCCGTAAGAGCTTCCTCAGGAAGAAAATCCCACCCGTGGCCTGAAGCTCTGGTTCCCACCCCAGCTTCTGCCCTGCAGACTCAGGCCTGCCAGCCAGCTCCACATCGCACGCACAGCCGATTCCTTGAAATCTCTCTCTTCTTCCCTCTCTCCCTCCCTCTCCCTTTTCCTCTTCACTCACAGACACACACACTGCGCACCCCCCCCACATGTATGCACACCCACACAACACACACATGCATACACGACACGTACACACACCACACACAACACACATGCACACACATACACCACAAGCATGCACACACCATGCACACACATACACACTGCATGCACGCCCACACATTCCACACATGCACACACACATCATACACACACACCCCACACAAACACACACGCGCAACATACATCACACACATCATATGCACATGAACACACACATGCACACACACACACTGGTTCTGTTTCTCTGGTAGAGCCCTGAGCGGTAAAAACTGAGGTCTCTTTGGTTGATAAATTTTATTAATAATGTGCACGTTTAATGGTATGCTTTCCGTTGTGAAATACATCCTGTCTAGGATGGAGAAGGTGAATGTACTTTTGGTTCCTCTGCCTTCCTCGCAGGGTCTGTGAGGAGAACCGGGACTTCTTCCTTCAGCTTAAACCCCGATGGGGTGTGGAGCCCGCCCCGCCCCCCTCGGCCTGACAGGCCTGGAGGAGGTGTTGCGTCTTGACTCCCAGGAATGAATCAAGACACTCGGAGGCACCGAGGCGCTTGCTTAATCCAGGGGGCAGGTGAGACAGCTCCGAGTCACCCCTCCCCGGTCCCTGCACTTCGCGTTATTCACTCTTCCTAACGATAAGTCATCTGTGTGGGCATCAGGCCGGTCCGGGACGTGTTGCGGGGCCAGAAGAAAGTTAGGAGCCACGTCAAGTCTGAGCCTCAAGCACATCACCGGGTGGCTTTCAGGCTGAATGCCGGGCGGCCGGGCCAGCAGGGGCTACGGCACTGCACCGGCCCATCGGCCGCGGGCCACAGGGTCTCCCAGTTCCCATGGGCAGGCTCTGCAGTCAGCCTGCAGCCTACAGACCGAGGGCGTTTCTGGGCACCGAGGTGGCAGTGGGCAGGGAAAGTGCCATCTGCCAACTGCAGAGGCTGGGGAGCCCACAGGCCCGCTGGCTGGGCCCAGAGGTCTGGAGAGAGAGGAAGTCTCGAGTGCCGACTGTCTTTGAAAATACACGCGTGAGAGTGGGCAAAGAGTCAGAGACTGAGGTGGCAGGGGGTGGGGGGAAGCACCTCGGTGAGTCTCAGCCCCCGCTGTGAAGCAGAACAGGCGTTTGGGCCAGGCCATGGAGCCGAGCTGAGCTGCTGGAGCTGCTGAGGGCCCTGTCCCCTGGGCAGCTCTCCCACGCTGAGAGGCCTGCTCAGTGGTCTCTCCTCTCGGCCCCAGCCCGGGAGCAAAGGCCCAGGGTTGTAGGAAGGTGGGAATTTATCCAAGAGGGAACGAGGGAGGTGAGCACGTCCTTAAAAAAGACCAGCCTGAGATGCCAAGGGTTGGAGATGCCTCATGCTTTGTTCTAGTTGTGAAACCTCTGACTGCATTTGCGAGATTTAACAAATAAAAACACAGGATGCCTGGGAAAAAAAAATAATGGCACTGGGACAACTGAATATCCACAGACAAAAGAGTGAAGGGGGAGCCCTCCTGACCGCAGGCCAGCAGGGATCACAGACCAAACAATAAGAGCTAAAAACTATAAAACTCTTAGAAGAAAACATGGGGGTAAAGCTTTGTGATCCCGGGTTAGATGGAGACATGACATTCAAAGCACAGACAACGGAAGGAAACAGACAAATGAGATGCTATGCGCATTTAAAAGCTGCACATTTCAAGGGACGCCATCGAGGTGCGGAGCTGTGGCTTGGGAAGGTAAGTTCTGGAGATGGCGTGGTGGATGGCTGCCCACCAATGTCACTGTGCTCAGTGCCACTGATCTGTGCACCTAACAATGGCTAACCTGGCAGAATGCTGGGTTTTGTCTATTTTATCCACCACAAAAAAAAAAGAGAAAAAAAAAAAAAAGAAAAAAGAAGAACAGACACTGTGAGGAGCAAGTTTTCACCCCACATTTCAGTTGTCCCGGCACCATTTTCTTTCAGGAAGGGACAGAGATGTCCTTGCAAAGGCTGGACCTGCTCCGACGCTGGCTTTTCCCAGCCCTGCGGCTTCTCCGCCCAGTCCAGATCCCCGCCTCCCTGCGCCCGAGGCCCGAGCAAACGTTTCTGTTCCGAGGTCAAAGCAATCTTCCGTGCCCCCTCCCCACCCCAACCCCACATCAGCCAGCCCCCCCTGCCACAAACACAGCCATAAATCTCTCGGCCGCAAACACTTGTTCTGAGTGGGAACCAGCTGCCGGCCTGACGCAAGCCCTTGACGCACGGCATGTCTCGTCCAAGTCTCACACGTGTCCGTGTCCATGTCCGTTACCTCACCCCTAAGGCCGCACAGCTGGAAGGTGCTGGGGGCTGACACTGGACCCCGTCAGCCCATTCCGAGGCCCTGGTCTCAACCCCTCTTATTTAAAAAAAATATTTTTATGGATTGGAGAGAGGAAGGGAGAGGGAGAGAGAGAGAGAGAAACACCCATGATGGGAGAGGATCATGGACCTGCTGCCTCCTGCATGCCTCCTACTGGGGATCGAGCCCACAACCCAGGCATGTGCCCTTGACCAGAATTGACCTCGGGGCCCTCCAACCTGCAGGCCGACACTCTATCCACCGAGCCAAACCAGCTAGGGCTTAGTCCTTCTTCTTTATGGCCGTGGTTTCAAACCAATCTCAGCTCAGATTCTCCTTTTCTCTGAAGGCATCTGGAGCTCCGAGGCTGCCCCCTTTTCTGCTCCCCATGGCACCCTGTGCTCCCACGGGGGCCGTCTGCTATTTCCTGTACTTGTTTGCCCACATGCCTCAAGGCAGTGTGTGTCTTGTTCATTGTGCGTGTGCCTTGGCACTGGCACATGACCTGGTGCTGAGCGGTCGAGCCGGTGGCTGCCTCCCGGTTCCTCGGCACCATCCATGCCCATCAGGCCGCCCGTCACAGCTCCCTGGAGCCTCAGACAGCACAGCACGCTGCTGCCTGAAACCCCAGCCCGTGCGTTTCACAGCCCCTCCCGCGGGGAGGGCCCCCTGAGTGCGAATGCCGAGCAGAAGGACTTCCGCTGTGCGAGGCAACCGGATTATTGAAGGGGAGTGATGTCTTTCCCAGCGGGAGCCGTCTTATTTCTCTCTGGGCTCAGCATTCTCCGGGGAATCTCTTAATGCTCCAGTGTTCTGGAGCGAGGGGCGGATGTATTTGATGTGGCTGGCGCTGGGTCAGCCAAGGTCCTCCCCTCCCTCCCCCACCCTCGCCCCATGGCTGAACTGACACAAACAGAGAAGCCAAGAACCAAGTCCCAAGTGTTTCCGGGATGAGCCTGGTGACCGCACTGAAGGGAAGACTTTCTGTTTGGCGAAGAAAACCTAAACTACGCAGACACGCACGTGTGGCACAGGAGGAACTATCTGTAAGAAACGGAAGGGACTGAAACAGGCGCCATGGTCCCAACGCCATGGAAAAGATCGGCTCTCTTGCTAGCGTGGATTCCTGCTTCTGGAGGGTTTCTCTCATCAAGAGAAAGTTTAATGGTGGAAAACATTTAAGCCAGGGAAGACCCGAGTCTCCGTGCAGGATGTTGTGACTACAGATATCTACAGTTTTAATGCCAGTTTTGCTCATGGAGATGCTGACAGAGAGAGGCTGCAGAATGTGGTAGAAAGACCATGGATGAATGTTTGCGTCGCCTTCCCCCCAAATTCACCTATTGGAGCCCTAACGGTGCCCCCTCCCCGGTGTCCTGTATTGGAGATGGGGCATCTTAGAAAGTAATTAAAGTTAAACAAGGTCATAAGTGTGCGGCCCTGCTCTAAGAATTAGTGTCCTTATAAAAAGAGACACCAGCTCTGGCTGGTATGGCTTGGTTGGTTGAGTGTTACCTCATGCATGGAGAGCTCACTGATTCAACTTCCAGTCAGGACACACGCCCAGGTTGCTAGCTCAATTTCCAGCAGGGGGTGTGTAGGAGGTAGCCAATCGATATTTCTCTCTCATCCATGTTTCTTTCTCTCTGGCACCTTGAACTTGGACTTCTTCCCAGCCTCCAAAGTTGGGAGAAAATAAATTTTTGTTGTTTAAGCCCCTCCCTCCCCACCCCCAGTCTGTGGTGTTTTACTGTGGCAGTCTGAGCAGACTAATGTGGACCAACTAGAGGCCCAGTGCATGAAATTTGTGCACTTGCAGGGGTTTCTCAGCCCAGCCTGCGCCCTCTTGCAGTCTGGGAGCCCTTGGGGGATGTCTGACTGATGGTTTAGGCCGACTCCCCTGGGGAGAGAGCCTAAGCTGTCAGTCGGACATCATTAACGCTGGGGAGGCAGGAGAGACTCCCACCACTGCTGCTGCGCTCGCCAGCTGTGAGCCCAGCTCAGGGCTTCTGGCTGAGTGGCTCTCCCCCCCGTGCATGCGCACTGACCACCAGGGGGCAGCTCCTAGGCTGAGCATCTGTGTCCTGGTGGTCAGTGCACCTCATAGCGACTGGTCATTTCACCATTCCGTTGATTTGCATGTCGGCCTTTTATTATATCAGATAATTTTGGGTCAGACAAATTTACATTGGAATGTTGGCTCTTGCTAGTTGACCTTGGACAAGTTATTTAATTTTTCCGAGTTTGATAAGTAACAAAAGGTTAATACACATCGTTGGTAGGTTTGTTGTTAGGGCTAAAGATAACATGTGGCATTGAGCAGACGCTCAGTAGGGCCTCATGTACTTGTCGGATATGCCCTGTGATGGTCTTCTTTTCTAGAAGCCAATTCCTGATTAGTTCTTGAATTGTGAAACAATGAGTATTTGGTCACTGGGAGGATAAGTGTCATTGGAACTGACAGGGTGAAGAGGACCCTTTTCCAAATTCAATATGTATTTATATATTTAGTGTTTTCACTGTAAGGCGTCAGCACAGAATCCTCTCGGGGACAGAACAGCTCACGCCACTGTTAATGGGGGGCCTACAGGCGGCCATTACTGGTCTAAACTCCCCATCGAGGTGCTGAGGAGCTGGACATTTTCAAATAGAATCTTCTTTTAGAGCCAGCCAAGAGCTGCTTGTATCTTTGCTTTAAGGGGAAATGCTTATGAAAGAGCTATTTCCTTGAGTGTAGTGATGCCTTCATTCCAGCCATATGGCCAATGTTTAATTAGACACTAAATGCAGATTCCAAGGTGAGCTTCTGTGGAGGCGTCAAGAGCACTGAGAACTGGACACGGTGCACCGATATCTAGTTCCTGGGTGGAGACAACGATCGATTTTGTGTGGAATGGGGGAGGGGTGGTGGAAGGGTCTTTGTCAAAGTGGATCTTACTGATGACAAGCCTTAAAGCTGCTTCTGTTGAGCCTGGGTTTGTATGCTTGGTGGAACCACTGCTTTCTAGGATTCCAAATGAAGGGGTTCAGAACAGCCTCCCCAAGAGGCTGAATTATTTTGAGCTGAAGGCAACTGGGGTCACTAGAAACTTTTGCCACTCCCCTTAAATAATCTAAATTCTGGGCCTTGCCCATAATAAGAATTATTATCAGAAATAACATTTTCTTATGAGCTGTTTAATAGGGCGGGGCAAACATCTAATTACTGAACATCTGCTCTTTTTATTGTCCTGCAGCGATGCTCTGAGGTCCCAAGGTACCTTCGCTCATTCTTAGCTCACGTCATATGTCCCTTATTTTCACTTTCTGTCTCAGAACCTCTCATGCATATGGGGTTTCCGTATGTACGTATGCAATTAAATTTGGTTATTTTCTCCAGATAATCTGTCTCCTGGGGATTTAACTCTTCTTAGAACATCTGGAAGGACCTAGAAGGGTACGGGAAAGTTTCTCCCTCCCAAACACAACGATGGTATGTCAGTATCCTAATCACCAACTTCA